TCTCCATATACAAACATTAGCAGTAGAATGGCCCGTACTGAAGAGAGTGACTTTCAATGTGGCACCGTCATAAGATGCCACCTTTCCAACAAGTCAGTTCGTCAAAATTCTGCCCTGCTAGAGCAGGTCAACCATAAGGGCTGTTATTGTGAAGTGGAAACGTCTAGGATCAACAACGGCTCAGCCGCGAAATGGTAGGCCACACAAGCTCACAAAATGGGACCGGCGAATGCTGAAGCGCGTAGCGTGTAAAAAATGTCTGTCCTCGGTTGCACCACTCACTACCAAGTTGATAACTGCCTCTGGAAGCAACGTCAGCACCAGAACTGTTTGTCAGGAGCTTCATGAAATGGGATTCCATGGCCGAGCAGCTGGAGTGGTGTAAAGCTCGCCACCATTGGACTCTGGAGCGATGGAAACGCGTTCTCTGGAGTGATTAATCACGCTTCACCATCTATAAGTCCGACGGATGAATCTGGGTTTGGCGAATGCCAGGAGAACAGTTTGGAGAAGGCCCTTTCCTGTTTCAGCATGACAATGCCCCTGAGCACAAAGCGAGATCCATACAGAAATGGTTTGTCGAAATCGTTGTGGAAGAACTTGACTGGCCTGCACAGAGCCCTGACCTCAACACCATCGAGCACCTTTGGGATGAGTTGGAATGCCGACTGCGAGCCAGGCCTAATCGCCCAACATCAGTGCTCAACCTCACTAATGCTCTTGTGGCTGAATGGAAGCAAGTCCCCGCAGCAATGTTCCAAAATCTATTGGAAAGCCTTCCCAGAAGAGTGTAGGCTGTTATAGCAGCAAAGGGGGCACCAACTTCATATTAATGCCCATGATTTTGGAATGAGAGGTTTGACAAGCAGGTGTCCACATACTTTTGGTCATGTAGTGTATAAACGCAACATGTAAAGTGTTGGTTCCATGTTTCATGAGCTGAAATAAAAGATCCCAGAAATGTTCCATGTGCACAAACAGCTTATTTCTCTCAGATTTTGTGCACACATTTCTTTACATCTCTGTTAGTGAGCATTTCCCCTTTGCCAAGATAATCCATCCACCTGACAGGTGTGGCATATCAAGAAGCTGATTAAACAGCATGATTATTACAAAGGTGCACCCTGTACTGGAGACAATAAAAGGCCACTCTAAAATGTGCATTTTTGTCGCACAACACAATGCCACAGATGTCTCAAGTTTTGAGGGAGTGTGCAATTGGCATGCTGACTGCAGGAATGTCCACCAGAGCTGTTGCTAGAGAATTTAATGTTCATTTCTCTACCATAATATGAATTTCTCTACAATGTCGTTTTGGCAGTACGTCCAACCTGCCTCACAACAACAGACCATGTGTAACCACGCCAGCCCAGGACCTCCACATCCGGCTTCTTCACCTGTGGGATCATCTGAGACCAGCCACCCGGACAGCTGATGAAACTGTGGGTTTGCACAACCGAAGAATTTCTGCACCGTCTCAGGGAAGCTCATCTGCGTGCTCGTCAACCTCACCAGGGTCTTGACCTGGCTGCAGTTTGGCGTCATAAATGACTTCAGTGGACAAATGCTCACCTTCGATGGCCACTGGCATGCTGGAGAAGTGTGCTCTTCACGGATGAATCCCGGTTTCAACTGTACCGAGCAGATGGCAGACATTGTGTAGGGCGTAGTGTGGGCGAGCAGTGTGCTGATGTTAACGTTGTGAACAGAGTGCCCCATGGTGGCAGTGGGGTTATGGTATGGGCAGGCATAAGCTACGAACAACGAACACAATTGCATTTTATCGATGGCAATTTGAATGCACAGAGGTACCGTGATGAGATCCTGAGGCCAATTGTCATGCCATTCATCCGCCACCATTACCTAATGTTTCAGCATGATAATGGATGGCCCCATGTTGGTATGATATGTACACAATTACTGGAAGCTGAAAATGTCCCAGTTCTTCCATGGCCTGCATACTCTCCAGACATTTCACTCATTGAGCATGTTTGGGATGCTCTGGATCGAAGTGTACGACAGCGTGTTCCAGTTTCCGCCAATATCCAGCAACTTCGCACAGCCATTGAAGAAGTGTGGGACCCCATTCCACAGGCCACAATCTACAGCCTGATCAGCTCTATGCGAAGGAGATGTGTTGCGCTGCATGAGGCAAATGGTGGTCACACCAGATACTGACTGGTTTTCTGACCCACGCCCCTACCTTTTTTTAAAGGTATCTGTGAACAACAGATGCATATCTGTATTCCCAGTCATTTGAAATCCATAGATTAGGGCCTAATTTATTTATTTCAATTGACTAATTTCCTTATATGAGCTGTAACTCAGTAAAATCTTTGAAATTGTTGCACGTTCCGTTTATATTTTTGTTCAGTGTTCTCTACTCGCTCTGGCCCTTCCCACTGCAAAGAGTTCTGAACATATAGTGGCATGTTTGAAGCGGTATTTCAGCCCAGCTCCGTCAGAAATTGTGCAGAGATGTAATTTTCATAATTGTAAACAAAAGGCAAATCAGAATATCTCCAGTTTCATTGCTGGTCTGCGCAGGCTTTCGGTGTACCATCATGTTGGAGATCAGCTGGAGCTGATGCTGCTTGACAGAATTGTTAGATGAGTCTAATGGCTGAGCCCAATCTGACATTTAGAGTGGCTGAGGAAAAAGCCTTGGCGGCTGAGACTGCTGCAAATCATGCCTGTCTGCTTCACCCTGAAAGACCAGGTCCTCCGACTGTGTCTGACATTCATCTCGCTGAACGTAGCAGTTGGCCGGTGCGCACGGAGGGGGCGGAGTCAGAGTCCAGAGAGGACTTCAGAGCCTGTTTCAGATGTGGAGGTGCCCGTAATTCCAACAGCTGTAGGTTTAGTGCTGCAACCTGTCACTACTGTAAACGTAGGGCACATATAGCTCGACTCTGTTTGAAAAGTTCCCAGTCCCAGGTCTCAGGCAGCTCATTCATGCCCACTAGGACCACACAACAGACACACTTGGTAAACTGTGACCCAGACCCTGAGGAGTATGTTATCTATAGTACCCATGGAGGGCCACAGCCTGAGAGAGAGAAGTCAATTTTTGCTGCACCCAGTGTTGAGTTCCTGGGGTTCCACGTTGACAAGGATGGCGTGCGACCGACCCTGGATCAGGTAAAGGCCATTAAGGAGGCACCTTCTTCCCAGAACAAATCTGAGCTTCAGTCGTTTTTTGAGGCTTCTCAACTTTTACAGCTGCTTCCTGCCTGATAAAGCTACAGCTCTTGCATCGCCTACTGGACCAGGCAGCTCCCTGGAGTTGGAACGACACTCACAAAGAAGTCTATAAAGAGGCTAAGTAGCTGCTGCAAGCAGATGGGCTGCTAGCCCACTCTGATGATAGAAAACCCTAGTTACTGGTCTGTGATGTGTCTCCATATTGGCTCGGTGCCTTGTTTAGTCATGTGGAATCTGATGGTCGGGAGGCACCTGTGTGCTACGCATCTAGGACCCTAACTGTCGCTGAATCGAACCATGCCCAGCCGGATAAAGAGGCCCTGTCAAGAAGTTCCATCAGTATTTGTCAGGTTGCCATTTTGTGGTCTACACCAACCACAAGCCTTTGCTGGGCGTGCTTCATCATATGAAGCCCATGCGCCAGATTATTTTCACATGCATGGTCAGATGGAGCCTGACACTGGGACCTCATAGTTATGAGCTCTGCTATCGTCCAGGGAAGCAGCTGGCTAATGAAGATGCCCTGATGTGCCTGCCACTAACTACCCCTTTGTCTGAGCCACCACCTCCCTGGGAAGTGATGCTGTTGGAGGTGGTGCATGATGCCCCTCTCCATGCTTCTAGGATAGCCGCACTGACCTTCAAGGATCCTGTTGTCTCAGCATGTTACGACGGCCTCTACTGGGAAGAGTCCAGCCGAGCAGGCGATTGACAACTGCTTTAGATTGGCTGCACCCGGACTTGGTAAGTGACATGTGGAGGATGATGCAGACAGGGGCCATGATCATTTAAGGCATTTTCTACCCGTCGAGTCTGTGTACATGAGGAGCTACTCTGGAGGCCCTAGGTAGGTCCTTGCGGTCGTGGAAGAAGCCACTGGACCTGTCTCTTACAGGACTTGGACGCCTGACGGTCAAGTGCACCGCGGCCATGTGGATCAGCTGCGGGGCCATGAAGCAGCAGCCCCCTTTGCTGCAACCTCCCTCACTGGCCTGGATGCCCTGGACACTATGCCTTTAGGAGGAAGTGCCAACTCCAGAGCCAAACCCTGATACTCAGCCCAAACATGCAGCTGAGCCCTAGCCTAAACGTACCTTTCTGCCTCCTCGTTATTGGATTGTTCTTTCACTATGTCATGGCATAATAGTTTCTAAGATATTGACATACACTCCACATCATCTCACCAGCTTCCCTTTGTTGTAGCTTTCGCTGATGTGAATAACATTGTCGCTTTGTGTGTGTATGATACACACCTTATAATAACATGTTAATGGGATACAGTTCACCTGCTTGAAATCATCAGAGCACAATGAAGTGATTCATTTCCATTGCATGGCTTTCAAATTAGATTTCACAGGCTCACACGCACTTCTGTGAAACGTGAAGGTCAACTCTAGCATCAACACAACGCTCTCTCACAGTAACTCAACGCCTCCTATTACACTCTGTTGTGTACCTTTGCTTCCCCTTTTACAGCACTTTACTATGGCTCTGTTGTTTACTTTTTAACAGTCTAGTGGTGCTCTACTCTATACTATGTGTGTGTGTGTGTGTGTGTGCGCACCCGTGCGCATGTGCGTCTGTGTGCTCTTCCTGTATTTAAGTTTATTTAACAGTATGCAATTAGTAGGTTTTATAATACATAAGGTTTTATAATACATATATAGGAATATGTCCAATAAGACCCCTCAAACAATAAAACATGTATTTGTCAGATTGGAGCATAAATCATATTTCATTAGAATGAAATGCTACCATAGGATCACAGGGTCACTGTGTATTTACTTTACTTACAGATGGTTACCCCAAGGATGAAATGATTTACAAATGGAAAAGGAACTCCATCGAAACCTCAGACCAGAAGTACTGGCGCCTCTACCAGTTTGACTTCATGGGCCTGCGGAATACCACAGACGTCCTCAAAACAACAGCAGGTACAGTAAATTAATTATCATACATTTAATACCCAAACAGCTGACCTTGTGTTCTTCACAACCAATAAAGTAAGTCCTCATCACAGCCCTTCGCTGGCTCCTGTGTTCTCCATCCAAGTTCTCTCTGAATTATTAGATATTGACTCATAAAAATTCCAAGGAAAAAGGACAAAGTTGTATTTTTGGCTGTTTAAAAATAAATAAAACTGTAAATGATCTGTCATATTCTCGTGTCTGTTAGCAGTGGGAGACAGCAGGCATTACCAGCTGGTGTCTTGAGGTGTGGTGCCACCACTCCAGCTTAAGTGAATTGCTTTTCCAGTCATTGTAAGCTATTGCATTGCAAAGACAATTGCTTTGCCAGTTTTGCAAGATATTGCCAGAGAGTAAAGACAATAGCTTCTCTTGGAAGATAGTCAAGTTATGTAGTATTATTGTACCATGGAAATGACAAAGACAGCATTTGGCAGGACAGAAAACAGGTTGAAATTGCACTTAGGAATAGTACTCTGGTAGTAGACTTAGGAGTAGTACTTTGGTAGTAGACTTAGGAGTAGTACTTTGGTAGTAGACTTAGGAGTAGTACTCTAGTAGTAGACTTAAGAGTAGTACTTTTAGGAGTAGTACTTTGGTAGTAGACTTAGGAGTAGTACTTTGGTAGTAGACTCAGGAGTAGTACTTAGGTAGTAGACCTTAGGTAGTAGACTTAGGAGTCGTACTTTGGTAATAATAATATGCCATTTGGCAGACGCTTTTATCCAAAGCGACTTACAGTCATGCGTGCATAAATTTTTGTGTATGGGTGGTCCCGGGGATCGAACCCACTACCCTGGCGTTACAAGTGCCGTGCTCTACCAGCTGAGCTACAGAGGACCACAGTAGACTTAGGAGTAGTACTTTGGTAGTAGACTCAGGAGTAGTACTTAGGTAGTAGACGTAGGAGTAGTACTTTGGTAGTAGACTTAGGAGTATTACTTTGGTAGTAGACTTAGGAGCAGTACTTTGGTAGTAGACATAGGAGTAGTACTTTGGTAGTAGACTTAGGAGTATTACTTTGGTAGTAGACTTAGGAGCAGTACTTTGGTAGTAGACTTAAGAGTAGTACTTTGGTAGTAGACTTAGGAGTAGTACTTTGGTAGTAGACATAGGAGCAGTACTTTGGTAGTAGATTTAAGAGTAGTACTTTGGTAGTAGACTTAAGAGTAGTACTTTTGTAGTACACTTAAGAGTAGTACTCAGGGAGTAGATGTTGCCTTTATCATTCACTGTGTAATAAAACAGTGCAAAGGGCACAATGAAAGTACATGCACCTGACTTTCTAATTCAATGTGACATTTAACATATTGTTTCTCTGTAGACTGCTTGAAGCTCATCAGTAGTCCCCTCCGGTATAAAGGCAAACATATTTTTATATAAACCATCTGGATTAAAGATTCAAAAGATTTAATTATTCACTTAAATGATTTTCAGAGGCCTAGGATGTGGTTTGGTTTTAATACTGAATTCTACGTCGATTTATTTCCAACAATCATTCCTTGCGACTTAGGTTGTGTTTTACAAACAGGTATCTAATTATACTAATGAGTGGTGCTCGCTGGAATTACTTCGTAATACATTTTTAATGCATTCATGACAGCATTGAAGATTAATGTAGCAGCGTTTTAAGGGGCCGATAAATTGATCTAATGTATGAATTCTCAAGCTGTAATTAACCCATATTGACCCTATTCTCAAATGTCATAGGTGACATTGTTCATGCTGTACTATATTAGTTTTGGAGAACAATGATTTCATCTCCATATTGAAAAGAAAGTCTTGAAGTCTTGTCTTGAAAAGTCAGGTGATCCAATAAATGATGTATTCTACGTATGGTGAACTGTGATACAAGTACAAGTTCTGAGTGGAGAACTCATGAAAGCCACAGTTTCTCATCTTGTTTTCACTTTTTCTTGACTCCCAGCTTGCATCATGCTGCATGATGATTAGCTAGCTAGCTCCTGCAGCTAAAAATAGCATGTAATTAAAATACATCTCAACAAACTCGGAAAAACATAAAGCGTTACATTTCTTCTTGTTGTTTTTCATCCAGCATGAAATGGATAGGGATTGTGCTGAAGCGTGGTAATGAGGACAGTGGCGAGTGGACAGTCCCCATGCCATCAGGGACTTCTGGTTCTACCGCTGTTATAACTGCCTCCATCTTTTTTATTGTTACAGCATCCCTCTTCAAAACCCACCAAAGTAGAATGCCTGAAGCCTTGTTCTGTGGTTCCACCTGATGCTATCTCTCATGATTCTCTCTCTCTCTTTTTCTTTCCCTCCCTCCACCCCTCTCTCCCTCCCTATGCTGGCTTGTTCTTGTTCCACCTGACACTCTGATTTTCCCTCAATCTCTCTCTTTCTCCCTCACTCCCCCTCTCTTTCCCCCTCCCTCTCCCCCTCCCTCCCTCTCTCATCGCTCCCTCTTCCTCCTTGCCCCTCTTTCCATATACATCCCCCCTCTTTATCCCCCTCTCCCCCCCCCTCTCCCAGGTGATTATGTGGTCATGACGGTGTACTTTGACCTGAGCAGGAGAATGGGTTATTTCACCATCCAGACCTACATCCCCTGTATCCTCACCGTGGTGCTCTCCTGGGTTTCCTTCTGGATCAATAGTGATGCCGCCCCCGCCAGAACAGCACTAGGTACCTGATCTGAAGAATACCATTTGACAGGATACACACTGATATGATAATAAGTAGATGAAGAACCCCAAGGGTTCAATCAAACCTGCTCCACCAGTGTTTATGTAGTGTACTGTATGTGTACAGAAAGAAATGACTACCTCTGCATGTCTTATTCTGAAAGGAAAAAAATAGGTCTGAGTCTAGCTGGTTTGTTGAAAGTACACAGAATATGAAAAGATGGCCACCAACTCTTGGTACCACAATGGAAGATTGCTTGAAAAATCTATATTTTATTGTTTAGACTAGAGAACAATCTGCATGTGTTTATGCAATGTTATGTTCTGCCTTTAAGATTCTTGTACCGTTTTATTTTGTTTATGCGATGTGCTTGTAATTGATCAAGGCTTAACAATCACCTTTTGTTTTACGTTTGTAATTCATTTAGGATTTTTCCCCAATGCATGCTTTCCATTAGTGCATGTGCATTCGTCTGGATTATGTTGTTGAAGGTGATTTGGAGTTTGAGTTGAACTTTGCGGTAAGTACGATTCAATTCCTCCAGGCAGCTCTTGTAGTGGACCTTGACCAGGAAGTTTTTGTCTTCAAGATCAAATGTATAACATTTAGTCCAAATTACAGTATTAGCGTTATACATGGCCTTTAACTAAGTGACAACAAATGGCATTTACAATGGTGGATAAACAAGTCAAAGCCTAAAGTGTATTAACGAGTCCGTTTCATCACCAAACCATCCTCGAACCACCACGATCACATTGAATAGTCTCGCTCGACAGTCTTGACACCTGTTACGACACAAAACAAAGATAAGCCCGGAAACATGTTTGTCTTTCTCCTAGCTAACAGGTAAGGATGCTAAATGTAAGAGTAAAGATAAATATCCCATTCCCGTTGACAAAAGAAGTCATTCAGTGTCTATTCTGGGGCACAAAAGCGCAGCGTTGCTTTTCCGGCCTCCCCGCTGATCAATAGCGGGTTGAAAAGAAAGAGGGGTGATAAGGAAAATGGGCTTTGACTGCAAAGAGCAGGAGAGATGTCAGAGTGGGGGGTGATGGTGGTAGGGGGCTAAGGAGGAGGCAGGTGCTGACATGCAGGTGCCCCTGAGGGTGTAGTGTGGGGGGGGGGGGGGGGGGTGACAGGGTGTACTGGGTGACATTCCCAAAGAGTCAGGTTCCCAAGGGCCACCAGAGATGGTAATGACTATCAGGCTATACCTGACAGGGAGTAATGACAGGAAGGGATGGGGATGCTCAGTTCAGTGACTCATACAGTGTGACCGCTCTCCCCTTTCTCACTTTCTTTGTCTTTCTTTCTTTATTTTCTTTCTCTCTCTCTCTCTCGCTCTCTCTCTCTTTCTTTCTTCCTTTATTTTCTCTCTATTTTTCTCTTTCTTTTTTCTCTTTCTCTCTCTCTCTCTCTCTCTCTCTCTCTCTCTCTCTCTCTCTCTCTCTCTCTCTCTCTCTCTCGCTCTCTCTCTCTCTCTCTCTCTCTCTGTCACGACAGCACTGTAGACTGATATCTTTGTACAATGTTCTTTGTGCCTGTATTATTTTCTGTGTGTTGTGTCTGTTCATATTACATCTATCGGTCTTTGTGTCCCTAATGTAGTGTAGGTGTATTGACATCTTTCTACATGCATTATTTGTGTCTGTATTATTTTCTGTTGTATTTTCTGTTTTTACATCGCATACCGTTTCACATGTATTTAATTTTTGCCATTTTATTTGGAGGAACAAGTTAAAGTTGCTCTTACACCTTGCCTGTTTGAAGGTTATGAAGGAACTCTGCTGACTAAGTGCCTAGGTATGTATAGAAGGTAAGGGAAATAGGTGAAGGTAATCACTGTGGCCAGCAGAGTCTGAAGGAAGGAAGGGGGGATTGAGTATGAAATATCAGCTCGAAATAGATGGGCCTTCTTGTCTCCATGGTAACTGCTAGAAAACAGCACCACATTCAGTCATCAAATGAGAGGTTCCTGGTGATGTGCATAAAAGAGCGAGAGAGACAGTGTGTGTGTGTGTGTGTGTGTGTGTGTTTGTGCGGGTGCGTACAGTGGGGGAAAAAAGTATTTAGTCAGCCACCAATTGTGCAAGTTCTCCCACTTAATAAGATGAGAGAGGCCTATAATTTTCATCATAGGTACACGTCAACTATGACAGACAAATTGAGGAAAAGAAATCCAGAAAATCACATTGTAGGATTTTTTATAAATTTATTTGCAAATTATGGTGGTAACCAGGCTGGGAAGACTGAATCTGCAATAGGTAAGCAGCTTGGTTTGAAGAAATCAACTGTGGGTGCAATTATTAGGAAATGGAAGACATACAAGACCACTGATAATCTCCCTTGATCTGGGGCTCCACGCAAGATCTCACCCTGTGGGGTCAAAATGATCACAAGAACGGTGAGCAACAATCCCAGAACCACACGGGGGGACCTAGTGAATGACCTGCAGAGAGCTGGGACCAAAGTAACAAAGCCTACCATCAGTAACACACTACGCCGCCAGGGACTCAAATCCTGCAGTGCCAGACGTGTCCCCCTGCTTAAGCCAGTACATGTCCAGGCCCGTCTGAAGTTTGCTAGAGTGCATTTGGATGATCCAGAAGAGGATTGGGAGAATGTCATATGGTCAGATGAAACCAAAATAGAACTTTTTGGTAAAAACTCAACTCGTCGTGTTTGGAGGACAAAGAATGCTGAGTTGCATCCAAACAACACCATACCTACTGTGAAGCATGGGGGTGGAAACATCATGCTTTGGGGCTGTTTTTCTGCAAAGGGACCAGGACGACTGATCCGTGTAAAGGAAAGAATGAATGGGGCCATGTATCGTGAGATTTTGAGTGAAAACCTCCTTCCATCAGCAAGGGCATTGAAGATGAAACGTGGCTGGGTCTTTCAGCATGACAATGATCCCAAACACACCGCCCGGGCAACGAAGGAGTGGCTTCGTAAGAAGCATTTCAAGGTCCTGGAGTGGCCTAGCCAGTCTCCAGATCTCAACCCCATAGAAAATCTTTGGAGGGAGTTGAAAGTCCGTGTTGCCCAGCGACAGCCCCAAAACAGCACTGCTCTAGAGGAGATCTGCATGGAGGAATGGGCCAAAATACCAGCAACAGTGTGTGAAAACCTTGTGAAGACTTACAGAAAACGTTTGACCTGTGTCATTGCCAACAAAGGGTATATAACAAAGTATTGAGAAACTTTTGTTATTGACCAAATACTTATTTTCCACCATAATTTGCAAATAAATTCATTAAAAATACTACAATGTGATTTTCTGGATTTTTTTCTCTCATTTTGTCTGTCATAGTTGACGTGTACCTATGATGAAAATTACAGGCCTCTCTCATCTTTTTAAGTGGGAGAACTTGCACAATTGGTGGCTGACTATATATATTTTTTCCCCACTGTACGTGCATGCCTGCCTGCGTGTGTGTATATAGGGTGTGTGTGTGTGTGTGTGGATATGAGTGTGTGTGCGTATCACACCCAGCTGTGACGAGTACTGAGGATACGAAGAGGCAGGACGCAGACGCAGGAATCAACAACGTAAAGGTTTACTTAACACTGAGCAAGAGAACAACAAAGAGCGAGTACACGACAAGACACTAACAAGCATCACAACACTGAACAGTCCAGGGATATATAGGGGTGGTGATGAGATGAGGTGCAGGTGCGCTGGAGTTGATTAGGGTGCGTTGGGTTTCCATTCCGGTGTTGCCGAGGTGGTGCGCTCAGACCGGTGGCTCAGTAGATCGGCGAATCAGAGCGCCGGAGGGGAGCAACGGGAGGAGACGTGACACCCAGCACTTTATATCAAAGTGTCTATACATGCAAAATCTCAGTGGGTACATTCAGCTCACTTTTCAATATACACACTGAACAAAAATATAAATGCAACATGTAAAGTGTTGGTCCCATGTTTCATGAGCTGAAATATCCCAGAAATGTTCCATACGCACAAAAAGCTTATTTCTCTCAAATGTTGTGCACAAAATGTTAGTGAGCATTTCTCCTTTGCCAAGATAATCCATCCACCTGACAGGTGTGGCATATCAAGAAGCTGATTAAACAGCATGGTCATTACACAGGTGCACCTTGTGCTGGGGAGAATAAAAGGCCACTTTTAAATGTGCACATAATTTATGTCTCAAGTTTTGAGGGAGCGTGCAAATAGCATGCTGACTGCAGAAATGTCCACCATATAATTGAATGTTAATTTCTCTACCATAAGCTGCCTCCAACGTCATTTTAGAGAATTTGGCAGTACGTCCAAACGGCCTCACAACCGCAGACCATTTGTAACCACGCCAGTCCAGGACCTCCACATCCGGCTTCTTCACCTGCGGGATTGTCTGAGGGGGACTGCTGATGAGTATTTCTGTCTGTAATAAAGTCCTTTTGTGGCTCTCCATTGGGTGGGCCTGGCTGCCAAATGGGTGGGCCTATGCCCTCCCAGGCCCACCTATGGCTGCACCTCTGCCGAGTCATGTGAAATCCATAGATTAGGGCCAATTTAATGTATTTAAATTGACTGATTTCATTATATGAAATGTAACTCAGTAAAATCTTTGAAATTGTTGCATGTTGCGTTTATATTTTTTGTTCAGTATATTTAAGCACTGACAATGTATTGATGTAAACGTCCATTTATTTCTAAAGTTAGAACTACATAGAAACACAAACTACCGTCGGTAATTGATCAAATATCTTAAAAGCATCTTTGCAAAATATATTCATACTATTGCCACAGAAAACTATTGCTGCAGTTTTGCCAAGCGAGATATCAAACAGTTAGTAAGGGGTGGCAGGTAGCCTAGCGGTTAAGAGCATTGGGCCAGTAACCGAATGGTTGCTAATTCGAATCCCTGAGCCAACTAGGTGAAAAATCTGTGTTATGACACTGACTTTGTCCTTTCAGGTATCACCACTGTGTTGACAATGACCACCCTTAGTACAGTGGCCAGGACCTCCCTACCCAGAGTCTCCTATGTGACGGCCATGGATCTCTTCGTCACCGTGTGCTTCTTGTTCGTCTTTGCGGCCATGATGGAGTACGCCATCCAAAACTACTACGCCTACAGGACACAGAAGCCCCACTACAACAAGACAAACAAGACGAAGAGACTGGTGAGCTTTCCTCCATACGATGTAATGGTGTACCTTTCCTCCATACGATGTAATGGTGTAACTTTTCTCGATGCAGTGTAATGCTGTTACAGAAATGGACCGAGGTTGTTTGTGTTATCACAGTCAATAGTTCTAGCCATGGTAGTGATTATGGTCTCAGTGGGTGGAGGTCTAGTCCATCCTTCATATCTCCACCCTCTTGCATCAGTCACTCTGTGCATGGGGCTGTGATAGTAGTACAGTCAGTGGCTCTGGCCTGCATGGTAGCAAATTGGGAGGTTGCCCCCCGATGAGGGTTGAGGTCTGGTCCATCCACCATCCTTCATATATCCATCCTCTTGCACTGCCGACCGGTCACACAGTGTATTTGGTAAATGCCGTGTCATAGCGTGTCATGTCATCATGTCATGTCTTGTAATGCTGTCGAGCGAGTGAATGAGTCCCAGCTTAGGTAGAGCACTAAGCCGAGGGGTTCTATCTCATTGCCTGCCTGGGCTGTGACAGTGTCCTGCTGGGTGTGGGAGGACACGGCCCGCTGCGGAGCTTTAATGCATGACAGCACAGCTCCACTCACAACGTATCAGCTCTCTTTCTCTCTGTCTCTTTTCATCTTTCCATCTGTCTTGCATGTATTTCTTGTCTCCTGTCTGGCTTTTGTTGTCCCCCCCCCCCCTCCCTCCCTCCCTCCCTGTTGCCTCTCTCTCCCTCTCTTCATCTCAGTATCTAATTATGAGGCCTTCCTTCCTCTGTCCCCTCCCCACATTTCTTGCCCTAACCCCCCCTCACTCTCTCTCTCTCCCTCTATCGCTTACACATTTAAGGAGATGGCCTTCCTCTGTCCCCTCCCACAGACCTACTCGATGCTAGACATGGGGCCCGGGTCCCCCACGACCGTGGTTCCGTTGAACAACAACTACTCGTACTGGCAGGACTACGAGGACGTGTACGAGTGTCTGGACGGGAAGGACTGCCAGAGCTTCTTCTGCTGTTACGAGGAGTGCAAGGGGGGAGGGTGGAGGAAAGGACGCATCCATGTCGACATTAAGGAGCTGGACGCCTACTCGAGAGTCTTCTTCCCTACGTCGTTCCTCCTGTTCAACATCGTCTACTGGGTCTCTTATCTCTACCTTTAGCAGTTTCAGTTGGAGTTGATAGAATTCGCTTGGACAAATATGGAAAGACTCATATGGGAAGAGGAGACATCACAAGATAAAAGAAGTCACTCAGTGGCAGCTTTGTGCACGTTGACACTTAATTGGTTGGTGGGTTAGTATAGCCAACTGATAGACAGCTGTCAGACCCTAACACCAGGATGCTAGCCAGATAAGAGATAATGAAGCATCCACAGTGCCTTCTTCAGGAAGGGGTTATCACCTATACAGAGGTGCAATAAGGGGACTACAAGCTTTGGAGTTTTTCCCACTTAGGTTGTTCCACATTCAACTAGAAGCTTTGGAGTTTTTCCTACATAGGTTATCATTTCAACGCATGCTATACTGTTTATTAAAAATAATGAAAAGCTAGGGTGGACTACACTATGAAATTATTATATTGTTGCTTTGTATTTCTTAGTTAGTTGCATTGTCATTGCAATCTATTTGAAATATATAGAAACTCAATATTCTTTATCTTAGCCATCAACAGGATCTTAAGTATTAGGTCATTGATAACATTGATTTAGTTTAGATGAATAGACATTTATATCATAAACATTTGAATAACATTTTCTACCAAGGGTGATATACAACAAGAAAATGCATAGTATACCTTACAACACACCATAACATAATAATTTATAGATGAAAATACTACTTTTGTAAAATAATGTATCTAATAAAGTTTTCTTTTGTAACATATAGAGTTTTCCAGAGGGTATTAATAGATTATTTGATAATTAAATCAATTGTCTGAGGACAATCCACGTGTCAAATGGATCTCATATGACGGGACAAGGCATGGTAAGGTTTCAAACTAAAGTAGTATGGAGATGGATTTCTGCTAAAATTTTGTAAATTAATTTACAAAATGTGAACATAAATCTATCTCCATACAGCAGGCCTAAAATACATAATAGGCTGAGGGCCAGGGTAGCATTTGGGCCAACACAGTACTGTATATATTGTGCTAGTATTCAGTACAGTACTAATAAAAAATGTATGGTTTCTCTCCAGCAACACTATTGCTATTTTCTTGAGCAAGAACATGTATAATTCATTTTATGTCATACAGTAGCTGTTGTACCAAAACAGACAACAACATCACAAAGAATTGTGAAAGGTGTGTTTTTGAGTTAAAAATAGTTGTATTTACTGTACTGTAAGTAACACTGGTGTTTCTTAGAAGTATGGTAGTATCCTATATTCTATGTTTTAAGAGAAAGTGTATGTGAGAGATGTTTTCATGCTATTTTCATAGTTGAATGTATATCATACTTTAGACCAACAACAAATAGTGGTTTTCAACTCTGTATAACAGTACAAATAATTGCACTTTATAAGTGTCTTAGTTTGATATAATGTATTTACAATAAATCAAACACTATTTTATAAGTCTTATGGAACGCACCCTTTTGTTACAGCAGATCTGAGAGAACCACTGTCTAGGTACAGCAATGCTTTTTAGAGAATTCAGTCTGTGGTATTGCTTAAATTAATAAAACTGTCTTTGCTCAAGGTCTGGAGTGTGTGTATGTGTGTGTGTGTGTGTGTGTGTGTGTGTGTGTGTGTGTGTGTGTGTGTGTGTGTGTGTGTGCGTGCGTGTGTGTGTGCGTGTGTGTGTGTGTAGGTGCGTGTGTGTAGGTGCTTGCATTCATATGTAGGTCATTTGAATCATTTGCAAACTATGATCTTACTTACATACACACTGAAGAGTTATTTAGATATAAATATATTTCAAAATGTAGGAATGGTTTTGTCTCTGACGTGGATTTGATAGCCCACTTCAAACCTGTGCTGTGTATAAACATGCTCACATACAGTACTTAACAAATTAACTCAGTCATGCATACAATTTTCTGAGAGATAGGACACCTGGACAGGAAATCCCGGGGTGTTTGTGTGAGTAGGGGTATGAGATGATGGGGGTTGTGAGGGTGTTAAAGGTCTAGTGCAGTCACAAATGTGATTTTCCTGTGTTCTATATATATTTCCACAATATGAGGTTGGATACTGGTAAATTGTACAAAAATTATGATAACTCCCTTTTAGTGTAAAAGCTGTTTGAAAAGACTGCCTGATATTTCTGCCTGCTTTAGTGGGATGGAGTTTTGGCCTTCAATGGTGACATCACCATGCGGTAAATTAGTTAAAAGACCACTAAGAAAGAGATTTCGAAACCTCTCTGCCAATAACAGCTTATTTCAGTTTTCCCCTCCCTACTCAAACCACTCCCAGACAGTCCTAGCAAAATTATTGCTTGAGAAATTGCCCTTTGCTAAGAAGATATTTTTGTTTCTTTTTGACCATTTTAATTGAAAACAGTAAGGTACTTAATTGTCACCCAGAAATGATTTGATATTAAGATCAAAATGGCTGCGATGGACCTTTAAAGCTGGATCTGGAGACTAACTGGGGACTTCCTTGTCCACATAGGGAGATTCTACTGGAACAGCAGGCTCTCACAGATGCTTCTGCTGCCCTGCGTTGTGACATACAGCCATATACATACATATTAATAATAGTTTATACATCATTGCATACAGATTTTGTTCCAGTCCATTGTGACTTTAAAAAATTCAGTAGAAAATCTGACTACCCATATGGATCACAAATATTTATTGTTCCCAAGCAATGAATCATAACCCATGAAAAGCAAGAAAAACATGAGGAATTTACATACTTAAAAACCAGAAACAGGGCTGAAGGCACACTCAATAAAAAATAAATACATTGGTCTATCGTTTTTTGCTCAAATGACCGATTTGTAATTATAATTAGCAGTAAATTAGGGGCACAACAAAAACTGTGCATATGCCTGGCTGTTCTCCCAAAAGGATTATGACAATCCATGATCATGTTAGATGGGAATAAGTGGCCCTGAGTCATACTTAATTACACCATAAGTGAATTTGTCCAAATACTTATGACTTCTTCACATGGGGGGGGACTAGATACATTAAGTCAGTGGTAGCCAACCCTGTTCCTAGAGTGCCGCAGGTACTCCAGGATTTTATTCCAACTAGGCACCACACATGACCAACTGAGCTAATTGATCAGTTCAATGACTGCCTAAATTCAACACACCTGGTCTTCCAGGTCGGTTAAGTCAAAAACATGAAGTGCCTGCGGCACTCCAGGACCAAGGTTGTCTACCCTGCGTTAAGTGCTTTCATTTATAAATGGTTAAACAGATATGTATGAAAATAAAAGGTGACATTCTGTACTGTTGCCTCATATGAAAGATTTGAGCTCAAATCCAAAATGCTGGAGTATAGAGCCAATCCCACCTCCATATCTTTACTGTGTCTCCTACAGCGTGCACACACGCCACGTCTATTTCTATGGGCACAAGCACTGTTCATGGCACAAACTGTTCACACCCCTCTTGCTGGTGGAGAGAATTTTGCAGGTTTAAAGCTTATTTCCTGCAATTCTAGACATTTTGTCATGGGGTGCAAATAACATTTTGCACTTTTATAGCTAATTTTCTTGCAATTCTATACACACAGTCTAATGTGTATTCATGAGATATTTGAATGACAAAAAAATTACAACAATATCTATGGGCTACAAAACTAAAAAAAATGTTAGTTGACATGGGCTAGTTGATCTGGACATTTCTGACAAGTTATAAATAGCTCTCTAAGGTGTGCAATGACTAACATGACAAGAGGAACTGATGATGCACTACCCAATTTCGACATTGCACCTTGTGCATTCTACTATTACAACTTTCAAGAGTAAGTTTAAAGCCGGACTGAGTTCCACGCCCCCCCCCCTGATGACCCCTCGCGCGCCCCACAGTTTGGGAACCACTGTCCTACAGGACTTTGTGGAAATGATGGAATAGGTGACATTCAGAAGCAGTCGTGTAGCTAGGTTGTCTAGATACAGTAGGTCTAAATAGGTTCCTCTTTACAACCTTCTGTTTCCTGACTGTACCTGGATACCCAAATGGCCACTGTAGCTGTGGTTTGAGTGGCCCTTTGCCCGTTGGAAAAAAAGAGGCTGGGTTTACTCCAACTTTGACATGGCATAATGAAAACACAAATGTTTAAAGTAAACTGCCCCAAAACAGAAATAAAGTTGGCCAGTTTTATTACTTAACAACTGGTCATAAATTACGTACAGTCTTTCTCTTCCTTGCCATGAAGTATTGGGAGAAAGGACCCCTTTGATAACACAGAGATTTTTCCCGCCAAAACTCCAACATCCAAAAGTGCATAATGAAACAATATTTCTAACACAAAGCATGTGGGGAAATGGTTGGTGGGGACTTAAAGAACAATCATGTCGAATTTGTTACTATGTTGTGATGTCATTAAAGATGGTGGAACAACATAACTGTATCTCTGGGGCTGTACACTTCCCAGTTATGAGGTTTGCATCCAATTGTTGTATAAAACGAATGATTAAGTATAATAATACTTTTGTGAAGATAACAATGTGATTTTAGCATTCTAGATGAGATGATTGTTTTCCATATTGACTTGTTCTCAGTTAGTGGCCATGCCCAGATGAGCACAAACATGATGAAACGCCCCCTTTTCTACTCAAGTATAAAACCCCACACTAGACCAGGAAGCGTGAAGCTGTGGCTACACGGCTTAAAATGGCTGACACACTACAGACCAGAAAACGTGAGAGTGGTGACTGCATGTTTAAAATGGTTAGACCAGGAAGATACACTGCTTAAAATGGTTAGACCAGAAGACCAGAAAACGTGAGACGTTAGTCCACGCGTTTGAAATGGTGAGAAACTCTGAAACTCTCAATCTCTACGCAAGAAGAAGAAACTCTCTAGACCGTAGCATTACCAGTCTGCAGTTGGCATGTAAAGCAGTCTAGAACATTTGACTAAAGACACGAGGTGGGAAGGACAATCCCTCTCAGACAACCGTTGGTACATCTGAAGTATCTATTCTAACGAACACTCCATTCGAAGACAAGCCGAGTCTCACCGAAGTGGAACCAGGTTCATGGATTTTGCGACGTTCAGAATGAGACTGATAAGAGGTAATGATTGATACGTTGACTGTTTTATACATAGTGATAGGTAAAGACCTTTTAGAGTTTAATTCGGGAGATGGTAACTCTATAAACAACTTATCTCGTGGTGCCCTAAATTCCTAATGAGTTAATTGTTACATGATTAATTTAATCGAGTGACAATTAAACATAGTTAGTTGATTCTATAAATAACAGTCATCACATTAATGCAAGTCACGTCACGACATTGTGTACACGGCACAAAAACGTGCAGGCTGAGGCTCATCATTTGTCAATGTGTCATTGACCTTAGTGTGTGGGTCAACCTTTCCAAAGGCTCTCATTGGCCCTTCTGGCTTCTCTAAAATGTGTCTTCTTCTTGATGAACATTGTGACCAATTGTTTCTTGACAAACGTGACTTTAGGTCCAATTCTTGACCTAGGGCCTCCATTCACTGCAATTCACCAACAGGTCTGAAATGTAGGACCATAGCTGACCCAGGCTTACTACAGAGCTGCACACATGGAAAAACTATTCATTGTTAATGCTTCGATGGGAAGACTCCTTTTTTCCCCAAACTCCAGTGGGTCAACTAGTTACTGAATGTATGTAAAATCTTGACCTTGGGCTTAGCTACATTCATTGACATTCACCGACTGACCAGACTGAACTGTCGACACTAAGGTTGTATGAAAACAAATCTGAAAAATGTGACAAAAAATTGTACCTTGCT